AGAGTTGGAAAAGAAGAAGAAGAGATATGGTTATGTTGCATTTAGTCAGAAGAAACAACAAAGCTTTTATGACTTAAGATATATAATCTGACAGAAACTGGTTCTATCGTGAAACTTACCGATTTCAATGACACCGAATGAGCAAATAAAGGAAATTGTCAAAAATACTCTTCCTCAAACACACTATGACATCAAAGGTTGCACAATACTTACATTCAAAGAAGACTTAACATTACTGAAGGAAAAAATAACAGAATATTCGATAACTTCAAAGAGGAAGAATAAAAAAATCTACGCTATATTTTATTTTTTTATAAAATTTATCTCATATGAAAGAACATGAATTTAGAATATTCGGAACTCATGACAGAAGAAGAGAACGAACAACATGTAAAAGATTATGCAAAATTTCTGAAGACATACAAAGCATTTAAACAATATCTAAATGCTTCTAAAGATTATGCAAAATTTCTGAAGGTATATAAAGCTTATGAAAAAGCGTATGAAAAGTTTATACATTGGGGAATTGTTGTAAAATGTCGATATGAAGACTAACCAAAAATATATTTTTGCTTAAATAGCTTCAGGGTCTATTTCTTCAACCATTTCACTTCCTTCGTCAATGTCAATAGAAGCTTCTTCAACCTTTGGTAAGAATTTCTGTATAACATCTTTGTTCGTTATTGTCTTCAGAGATGAAGGATAATATTTCACATTTGTTTCACCCTTCTTATATTCTTTCTGTTCGGAAAGATTTAAAGCAATACTGAAGAAGTCAATTTAGAGTTCTTTATGACAGTATATGAGTATCTTTGACATTCACGAAGAAACTCTTTTGTTTCAAAACTACTGCTAACTCTTGTGAAGTATAACGTTTGCGGTCAATGACGATAGCTAATGGTCTGACATACTGACCAAACTTAGATTCTTTCACAAACTTCTTGTTAAAGATAACATTAACATTTGAAGCATTATTGAACTCATTCTTGATGGCAGTAGCGAGAGCATTGTATGAAAAGAACTTGCAATCTTGCATGTGTTTCATTAAAATAAAAATATTAAATTATTTTGAAAAATAACTTAAAAAATCTAATCTAATTTTTTCAAAAAATATTTTTTTATTTCCTACTAAAGATGTATCGGAAGTTGTCTAAGTTAGAACACTCGGAAATAAAACAACTTCTTACAGAAGCTAACATAGATGTTGCAAAGCATTACGCAACAAACAAAAAAGCACTCGCTGACTTCATTAAAGACTATAATGGTGCAATAAGTTATGATAGAATTCATGAGTTCATAAAGCCGCAACGCGGCGAGGACGAAGTCCATGCAAGAGCATTTCCTTTAAATGACGTTGCTATTGACTTATATCATAGACGTTCAGTACCTCATGAAGTAAGAAGAGAAATGTTTGACATAACAAATGCAAACGTTGGTGAAACAAGAAGAAGACGACACACTGAAACAACAGAGAAGAGAGATGTTTAAAGCGCTATAGAACAAGTTCGCAAAGCTAACGATGTCATTCGTTCCATTGACGACAAACCAAAAGAAGGTGAGAGATGGTTAAAGAAAGATGAAGAGAATAGGAAGAGAAATGTGAAGTCAGGCAATAGACTCATTGACTTTAACATCGAAGCTTTAGATGAACCAAACAGAGACTACTTACACAAACATTTCGGTAAGGTTTTCATGAGACTCTTAGAGAAAATTAAAATAAACTCACAACAGAGATGGATGGTATGTTATAAACTTGGTGGAAAGTATGAATGTTCTACGTTAAACCTCAATAATATTGGAACATTACTACATCAGCTCTTGAAGGAGAACTTTATATCAGAGATAGAAGCAAATGCTGCAGGTATTGTTGAAATGCACTATGACTTCTTCTTGACAAACATAAAGAATCTTACTGAAATAAAGATGTATGATTTAACAGAATATGAAGGCTTAACGATGTCAGATGTAAAGAAAGGCAAACCAAAAAAGAGACCATATAGAGATGAAAGCACACTGACAAATGACCAGAAAGCCATTTTGGAAGCTCTTAAGCAAACAGGAAACCCAGCACTTATAGAAAGCTTTTGGAAAGATAATGGTGAAAAGAAGTTTTATAAGAAGAGAAGCGGTCAGTTCTGGAAGTATCTTTGCACATTACCTATAAATCTTGAGCTACCAAATCTTCAATGAACTGAACAAAAGAACTGCAACACTTATGACAGAAGACAATTGTTTCGTTTATGCTTGCATTCAGGCTGGAGTAGATGGACTATTGACCACATGAGAGAAGTCATTCGTGTTAGAGACTTTCCTCAAAGTAAAGTACAAGAAATTTCTGACGCAACAGGTATAGCATTTAATGTTACCATTGGTTATTTCAATGACTCAAGACATAATGAAATAAAGAGATATATACCAAAAGAATGTGAAACTGTTAGAACTATTGACTTACTTCTTGTTGAAGACCACTACATGCTAAATGAAAGATTACCAATGACAACATATTTCATTCGCAACTATATAGAAATCTCAAAGCTTGTGGTGGAATGAACATTGAGAAACAATGAAGATTTATACAAAGAGAGAAGATAAATATGTAGTTCGTTATGATAGAACAACCCGTTATGGGATGTTATGAAAACATTGTGGGAGTGCAAATATTTCGAACCTATTTCTTATGGAGAACTTTTCACATATACGACTGACTTATATAAACAGAACCTTGCACCATTTAAAGATTTGACATATGCTCCAAAGTATTGTGTACAACTGAAGAAGAAAGCCGAGTCAAGAAGTAAATAAAAATAAGTGCAAGTTCATTCCTGAGCACGTTTTCTTTGCTGACTTTGAGTGCAGTACCGATGGCTTTCATAAAGCTTTTAACATATGTTACGACAGTGAAGATGGTTCAGTGAGTGAAAGCATTTGGGGTCAGAACTGTGCAACAGAATTTTTGGAGCGACTTCCTGACAAGAGTTTAATATATTTCCATAACCTCAGTTATGATATAAACTTCATCTTAAGACACATGACAGAAGTGAAAGGAACTCCCATCATTAAAGGTTCACGAACAATGCAAATAACTGGCTTATATAAAGGAAGGGCAATTATTATAAAAGACTCTTACAGTGTTATAAATAAGAAGCTTAAACTATTTCCTGCTATGTTTAACTTACAAACAGGACCGAAAGAAGTATTTCCATATAACTACTACAGCAGTGTTTTGTTAGCAAATGACAACAGAACTGGTGTCATTTCTGAAGCATGTAAGTTTATCCGGGATGCAGATACATTCATGAAAAACATAGATTCCATCAAAGGTTGCAGAATAGATGAGAACCACTTCGACTTAGAAAAGTATAGCACATTTTATTGCAAACAAGATGTAAGAATTTTAAGAGAAGGTTTTGTTAAGTTCCGCAATGACATATTGAAAGAATTTGATTTAAACGTTTATGACTACGTTAGTATTTGTTCAATTGCTAACAAATTATTTGAGAACAGAGTGTACTTCCCGAATGGAAATTTATATGACCTCTCAAATAAACCAAGAGAATTTATTTCGAGATGCATTCAAGGTGGAAGATGTATGTTGTCAGATAACATGAAACAAAAGAGCGAAAAGAAACTCATTGCTGATTCGACGCTGTTTCATTATATCCATCAGCTATAGCAAGACTTTATACTTTAGAAGGTATTCCAAAGGTTATGAAGAAAGATGTTAAGCACAGAGTATCTCATGAGACATTTATTCGATGACGACCAAAAGGAACCCATTGGTGAAAAGTTTATGTCTGGCTTCTTTGTTCTCATTAAGATAACAGAGATTGGAATACATAGACACTTTCCTTTAATAGTTTGTGACCCTGAACTAAATCCAGAACTTAACGTTCCCAGAAGTTCAAACACTTGCTGTTTAATGTATGTTGACCATATAACATTACAAGACCTCATAAAATATCAAGGTGTCAAATGTGAAGTGTTGCAAGGATACTATTACGATGGAAACAGAGATATTAGAATAAGAGATGAAGTAAAGAAGTTGTTTGAGTTAAGGTTAAAGTATAAGAAAGAAGGAAATCCTTTGCAAGAAAATATAAAGCTCATTCTGAACAGTATTTATGGCAAAACTATTCTATCTCCTATTGAGTCAAAAATAACCATAGTAAATGACAAAGATGCTATAAGATATGCCATCAGAAACTACAACCATATAGTGAAGTTCGAAGGTTTGGATGGTTCAGATAAAACTATTTTCAAGCTAACGAAAAGCATTTGCAGACACTTTAACTTCTGTCCACTTGGTGTTAACATTCTGTCTATGTCGAAGAGAATAATGTGTGAAGTATTCTGTACTGCTGAGGACTTAGGAATGGACATCTTTTATAGCGATACGGACAGTATGCATCTCTACAATGAAGATATCCCTCGTTTAGCTGAAGAGTTTGAGAAACGTTATGGAAGAGTTCTCATTGGTAAAAACCTTGGTCAATTTCATAGCGACTTTGCAGAAATCACACCTGGAAAACAAAGTTTAGCATACAAGTCAATATTTTGTGGAAAGAAGACTTACATAGACTTACTCACGAACGATTTAAATGAAGTTGCATTTCACTGCAGAATGAAAGGCGTGAAGCAAGATGTTATTGCTTTAACCGCTAATGAAATGTTTCCTGACTCTGTTCAGTGTTTCTATGATGAAGATAAAGGTTTAATGGTTCCGCAAGGAACATATGACAAAGACTCTGAGTTCAGTTTAATGAAACTTTACAAAGCACTTTATGACGGTCAAGAGATTGGATTTGACTTATGTAAGTCATGTCAACCTTGCTTTGAAGAGAAGTTTAACTTTTCTATTCAGACTAAGACTTCATTCATAAGAAAGCTTAAGTTCTGAGGTCATGAATGAGAAAAATAATGAGGTCATTTATTTTTGTCAGCAATGAGGTCATTCGTGATAAAAATAAAACTAGCGGCAAGGGCGAAGCCCATGTGGTCATTTACAATACTGCGATGGTAGAGTTTAAGAGTTGTGCTTCAATGTAGAGACAGTCCTTATGGTCTGGAGGTAAGAACACTGGGCAGTTATGGTCATGAGTGGAGAACATGTCTATCCAAAACTCACGATTGAAGCCAGTTAATTTATAGTATTTAGGGTTAGGAAGTGGTGAAGTTCTTGTATGACCAATGAACTCATTTTCAACTCCCTTACTTAAGTTTGAATATAATATAGCTTGCTTTCTATCCCAAATGCCTGGAAATCTAATTTCGGAAAAATCATTTTTCCTCGGAAGCATTGCATCATAATTGAAAACATTCTTGAAATCATCACTTGGTTCAGAGATTTGAAATCTTATACGTAATGGATTTTTTTTCTTTTTAGCTACTTCATTGAATGGTGAGAATACAATGAATTGACAGTCATGTGTTCCATCTTCATTTGTTACAAACTCGTAATGAAAAGCTATTAATCTTTCTACAATTCCTTCTTCTTTCAGTTCTGCAAGAAAATCACGTAAAGGCTGTAAAGTTTGTACTTCAATGTTAAACTTCTTTTGAAAATTTTCGTAAAATGTAATTATACAGTCTTCTAACGTCGTACTGTCATTGAAGTATTTGTATATGTGAATGTTTTGGGCGCTTAAAGACTGTTCGTCATTTTCTATCTCGACTTGAAGTATAAAGTCAACCTTTCTGAAAGCACGTGTTATATACATAGATGTTATGCCAATGTACTTCTCTTCATTTATGTTCACAATCCAGTCTGTTGGAAACTTAAACGTTACTCTGTTCCCCTTTATTTTGACGTCAGGGTTTTCACTACTGAACGCAACAGATAAAGGTATTTGTCTATACATTTAATTCGGATAAAAATAAACCATTTACTCTTTCTTTGCTTCAGCTTCTTTAGCTTTTGCTTCAGCTTCTTCTCTAGCTTTTTTCGCCAGTAGTCTTGGGTTCTTTTGTCTTCCAGCAGCTAATGCAGCAAGTTGTTTTTCACTAAGTTTTCTCTTTGGTCTCTCTGGCTTTTGTTCTTGTTTTTGTTCCTTCAGTTCGGATAAAATTTGCTCACGAATTTCTTTCTTCAATGCTTCAACATCTATGACCCCTTGGGTCTTGTCCGTAGGGCTTGTCTGAGTCATTTGACTGCAGATAAAAAACAAAATTAAAACTTTAACCGATGTAAAATGAGCTTGTCAAAATCAGAGCGAGAGTCTATTATATTAAATGACGCAAGAGGAATACAACATCCTTTCTATTACGTAAGTCAGAGTAAAGATGGTAAAATATACGTAAGAAAAAGAAAGGTTCCATTAGCGAATGCAGAAAGCGACAACATTAAGGTGTATGGCAAGGGTGAAGTCCACGAAGCCCATATAAAACCTTCTGTTCAAACTGAAAAGTCAATAGAACCAGAAGAAAAGAAGCCAGATGTACTTTCAATAACGAACCAAGAGCTTATTGCAAAGTTCGTGAATTTCATTGAAAAACAAACCGAGTCAAAGAACCCTGACCCACCAGTGAAAGAAGTTGAGACAAAAGAGAATGTACAGTTCATTGAAAATGTCAAGAAACAACTTCCACCACGAATGCCAAGAAGAAGAGTGAGAATAATGAAGTAAATAGATATTTTTATCTGAAGTAAATACATGCAGAACGAACAGCTAAACGAATTTACTCCAGCAGAGCATATTCATCAGATTCGCTCATATTTCGATATCATAGACAATGCAGTTCAAATTGGTGACACTAATAGAAAATATTCTGACGCAAAGATTCCATCACAACCTGGAACTGCTAAAGATAACACATGGGTAACATTCAATCTCTCACCTCCTGGTGAAAATATGTTGGACCTTTACAATACATTCATTACGTATAAAATGGAAGGTCAATTTATTGTAGATAAAGAAATTGGTTCAGGTTCCAATAAAACAAACCCACCAGGATTTTGGATTGGTTTCGATGACGCTTTCTATGCAGTTGCTGGATATCAAATCCTTGCAAATGGTCGTATCGTATATTCTCAAGACAACGCAAGAGAAGAAGCATATATAACTTCAAACTCACAAACTACCGAACAAATAAAGAAAGTAGATGTTTTCTCAAAGACTCGACATGAAGATGTATGGAGTCATTCGGGAACATGCAGAACAGGACAAATTGTTAGTGGTCCAATTACAGCAGGAAAATCATTTGATTTTAAGCTTCGTTTAAGAATTCCTGTTAGAAGATTCCTTCCATTAGAAGCTATTCGATTTATTCCAGCTTTTGCAGGAAACATTCAGCTTAAAGTAAAGTTCAGTAGCGACGCCTTACAATGCACATCTATATCTGTAAATGATATCATTGCTTTCAATCCAACTCTTAAAGTTGCATTTGCTTCAGATTCAAATCCACCGACAAATAAATTTGTTCCATGGAATGAACCATTCACTATGATAACGAAGGCAGTAGAAGCTAGTGGAACAGTTACTATTACAACTGTAACCCAGCAACTATTTCGAACAAAGATGGATTTTAATGAATGTTTTATTCATCCAAAGTCATTCTCTTTAGACCTAACATTTATACAGAACTTGTAGAACATTATACAAACGAGGCTTTATGTTTTCCTGTTAAAGTTATGGATTGGATTCCTATGGACGGTTCATTCTCAAAGAATACAGATAGTTCAAGTGCAACATTTACAGCAGCTTATACGCCTATTAATGTTAAAAGTATTTGGGCACTATTTAGAAAGAAAGACAACTATTATGTTAATTTTGAGAACCCTAAGTTTAAATATCTTCAGCTTTCCATGGGAGCTTATGGAAATATGCCTGCAGAACCTGAAAAATCATATGGACCTGTATTTTATGAAATGGTTGCGAACGCTTGCAATACAAACAATGATATGATAGGATTTAATGAAGATGTTATGAGGTCATTGGTGGATGATGGTAGTGTGGAACATAAATGGGATAGCTATGACAACACACATTTCTTATGTGGTTTTCCAACAGAAGTGGACTTTTGCTTCCAGCAAGGTCAAACATCTACTGCTCCAATAACATACAAATTGTCTGTTAAAGGACCTATTGAACTAGCAACTGAAAATGTACCAAAGCCACTTATTGGATTTATGAGGGATTGTTGCTTTGCCATTCAGGTGCGTGCTAATGGCATCCCCATAATAAGATTAGATGACTATAACTTAGCTACGGACGACAGTGAGGAATAAAGGATGAACGTTATTATTTTTAAAGCTTATAAATGAGTTCTTCATCAAGCTCTCGTGAACCTTCACCATCTATGAAACAAACTTTACCAAACGATTATGGAGCACCTATTGAATATTTCTTACGAGCTGCACAATGGCAAAGAGCAGTCTCACCAAGGTTAGGTGTTCCACCAGCTCCTGTCAAAAATAGCATTTGGTCAAGTCCTTATATAAGATATGGTCTCCCACTAGGTTTGCTAGCTACAGCAGGAGCAGTTATGATGTTGAAAAGAAACAAAGCAAATGTTGTAAATAATACTGAAGTAGCTGAAGTTAAACAAACTCCAACACCTTCGCCAAAACCAACGCCTTCACAAGCAAAACCTTCAATGACTCCTGAACCTATGAAAGTACAAACTCCTGTTCAAAAGTCAACTCCTAAACCGACTCCAACATTTAAACCAGAACCTACTCCTCAAATAAATCGTAAAACTCCTGCGTTTCCTTACTGAAAAAATAACGTTATTTTTATTTAATATTAAAATTTTTATTTGATTGAAATGACAAATAAAGTCACTGAAGCAATGAAACAAAAGTTTTTGGTAGAATACATTAAATCAGGAGCGGTTCCAGAAGGTTTTTACGTTCATACTATGAAGGATGGTAGAGTTCAGTTTAGAAAGATAAAGCAACCATTAGATAAAGAAGGAATTTTGAGAAAGATTAAACTTCATGAGGACAACATTGCTGAACTTAAGAAGAAGCTAGAAGAGTTATAAAGTAATGAGAACGTTTATGTTATGAGAAATTTTTAACGTTAGTTTTATTTTTACTGAAAATTTTTATTTGGATGTAATGACGAAAACTATTGAGATAACAAACTACAATGGTCATGAGTTCAAGAATTTGTTCTTCGTTCCTCGTGAAAATACATTCTATCAGATACGAGGGAGAAAGGGTAAAGTTAGTTTGAGCGTTTATGACTACAAGCATAATGGAAAGTTTATACAAGCATATGATACAAACGGTAAGCGTGTTTCATTAGCTTTGTCAAAACTTACTAACATTTATTTTGACAGTGACTTTGACCTATATGAAGAAGAAAGTGAGTCAGAAGATTATGAGCTGTTATGTGAAGCACAGCAATGGGAGGAGTTGCAATACTTTTGTAAGTGAGAACGTTTATTTTTTACATTAGTGAAGTCGTTTGTGAAAACGTTAGTGAGGTGAAGTGGTTGGTGGTTTTGTAAATATTTAAGGTTAAGTTAGTGTTGTCGTTTGTGTTGTAAAATATACGTTAACGGTTTCATAAAGTGTCAAATTCACATAACAGGGGTACGGTGGAACGCAGTGCCGTCGTACCCTTGTTATGTATACTAACTTAGTTATCGATATATATATGTAAAGTGATAATCTGAGGATAATCTGAGGAGTAGTTTGAGGAGTTTGAGGAGTAGTCTGAGGAGTTTGAGGAGTAGTCTGAGGAGTTTGAGGATAATCTGAGGAGTTTGAGGAGTAGTCTGAGGAGTTTGAGGATAATCTGAGGAGGAGTCTGAGGAGTAGTTTGAGGAGTAGTCTGAGGAGTTTGAGGATAATCTGAGGAGGAGTCTGAGGAGTAGTTTGAGGAGTAGTCTGAGGAGTTTGAGGATAATCTGAGGAGGAGTCTGAGGAGTAGTTTGAGGAGTAGTCTGAGGAGTTTGAGGATAATCTGAGGAGGAGTCTGAGGATTAGACTGAGGAGTAGTTTGAGGATAATCTGAGGAGGAGTCTGAGGATAATCTGAGGGGTAGTTTCAGGAGTAATCTGAGGACTAGTCTGAGGATAATCTGAGGAGGAGTTTGAGGATAATCTGAGGAGGGGTCTGAGGAGGAGTTTGAGGATAATCTGAGGAGGGGTCTGAGGATAATCTGAGGAGGAGTCTGAGGATAATCTGAGGAGTAGTTTCAGGAGTAGTCTGAGGACTAGTCTCAGGACTAGTCTGATGAGGAGGACTCTAAGGAGTAGTCTGAAGAGTAGTCTCAGGAGGAAGATCTGAGGAGGAGTCTTATGAGGAAGATCTGAGGAGTAGTCTGATGAGGAGGGTCTAAGGAGTAGTCTGAGGATGATGAGTAATCTGATAAGGAGTAGTCTGAGGATGATCTGAGGATAACCTGATGACTAGTCTAGGAGTGGTCTAATAAAAATGTAAAATATTTTCAAAGAAAAAATTCTATGAATTTTATATTTTAATTCTTAGCATTATACTGAATAAAATAAACATAAATATCAAAATTTGAAATTGAACACGCAAAAAATTGATAATCCACATTCAATATTTTGTAAGTGGCGTACATTTTGAATACTCGCCATACGCCTTGGAGTTCTCAATTTTGAATTCGCCTTTATTTGGGCGACCTCAGAAAAATACGCCATTAAGAAAATATTGTATGAGATTTTAAATTTGAACACGCTCTACCTTAAGGAATAAATTTATTAAGATATATTTATATATAATAAACGATTACTTAAAAAAAGTATTTCATCGCTTATGTAAGTTTCAAAAAAATCACGAAAATAAAAAAATCAAGATTAAAATTTTATTTTTAATTTTTGAATTTCTCAAATGGCGAAATTTTTGGGCGAACAAAAAAATGTACGCCCGGTCAAATGGCGTGTTTAACGCATCCCTATATGCAGGGTCTTTCCATGGCACCCTGCATACATGTACTCAGATCGGGAATATTGTCCACTTTTGTTCCACGATGTGACATCGTGAACAAAGTTTCCGATCTGAGTGCATATATGCAGGGTCTTTCCATGGTACCCTGCATACATGTACTCAGATAAGAAATTTGCTTAATTGTTTGACATGAATGTCACATTCGAAAATCGTTTCTCGAAAGGAGTTTGCAATTACAATTAAGGGTTTCGTTTTGCGAAAAAAACGTACAATACGCAATTTCGCTAAAAAACATTTAGCTAGCAATTTCGACCTTTGACTCCACTCAAGACGTCACTTTTTTAATTTTGCGGTATCATATTTTTGGAAAATCTTTATGAATATTATATAAAAAGTCTCTTTAATATCTATATTTCATATTTTTATCGATTTTTAAAGTTTTTGCGAAAAGTATTCAATTATTTTTGCTATTTGGTCGGGTAAATGTCAGATTTGCGACATTTTCTGATATGATATTCAGATTCTACGTTGATAATAATGCTTATAGAACCCTCTTGCTATTGTGTCAAAATTGCAAAACCGATAGCAAAAATATCTCGCAATATCAAAATTGAGATATTGAGTGAATTATGCATTATAGAGATTAAAAATCTGATTTGTGAAAACATCTCATCAGTTTCTAGCTAATTCAAAAATCTTTACTATCTTATTCGATTAAAATGAAAAGGGAATAGTTTCATTATGCTTTAAATGACAGCCTTATAATATAATCATAGTTTTCGCTCAATATGCAGCATTTTTTTTCGAAATCTATGGTCAATATCCTAAATACTGATTGCTTTGCATTCATATCTCTTACATTTTCTATACCCACATCACTATTCATTGCTATTCCTATCTTTTTCATTTTTGTTTGTTTAGTAGTATATGTTGACGGGTTGTGTGACTTTTTTTGTAAACGTAAGAATTCATACGATATTGAATGATTTTGTATCATTTTTTTTAACATATGAATTAAAAAATGTATGATTCTTACGGTTTTTATTCTTACGTTTTTGAATAAATCAAGATTTAAAAAATTTTGTAAACGTAAGACATTTACACTCAGCCCATACATAACGAAATAAAAGAAGCTATATATAGATGATGTCAGATATTCCGCGATTAATTAAACATTGTTGAAAATAAAGATTGGAATCAATGGAGTCATGAATGAAAAATAAACTTTAAAAATTCATATCTTACAGTTCTGAATAATTTATTTTTATTTTGTATGAAATGAGCGTCAAAACTAACAATGTTAAAAATTTAGGATTCACAAACGAGGAAATAAAGGATATATTAGAGGAGGCGGGTTATGAAGTTGATAAATATTATTTAAGAAATTGTAAAAAATTCGCGGAGTTTTTAAATGAATTTGGTTATGATGGAAAAATGAATAAAGATGATGTTATAAATTTCTTATATCCCACATCTAAAGAAGAAAAACCTAAAGAACCTGATGTTTTCCCTGAATATTATGAAGAACGAATTAAAGATGATGAATATTATAACGATGAGATTGAGAAATTGGAACAATTAAGAAATGAAATAGATGAAAGAATTAGTGAATTGAGAAATGCTGAGAATGAAGTAGAGGGTTTAATGAATATCCCAGCTTCAGAATCAGAAGTTCAAAAATCACATGAGGAAAGATATAAAAATTACTTTTTGGAATCTACTAAAAATTTATTAGATGGTGATATTGACGAAACACTTTCAGAAGAAGGCACAAAATTTATTCGTAAACATAAGCTTCAGTTTATTGACGATGGAGATTATCCATGTATATTACTTTCACCACCTTTAGATTCCGAGAAATTCAAAAAAGCTCTTAAAAACGTGACATATGCAACTAATACGATTAAGAAAGAAGATCATGATATTTACACAAATTATTATTTAAATAAATGCACAGGTGTTGATAAAGTTTTTGATTTGTTAGATAAAATATCAAAAGAAACAATTGGTACATATAAAATTTTATGCGATTGTGGTTTCATTATTGAAGATACCAATAATGTTTCATATGAAAGAACAGCACCGAAGGAAGACGAAGTGGAAAGGTCTATATCATTCGTTATTAAGAACATAAAAGATATGAAAACTTATAAACATTATATTTATTCATTTATTTCAGAAAAAATGGAAGCAACCCATAAAACATCATCTCATCATTTTATAGCTATTCATACATTCCTTTTCAAAGTTGTGAAATTAAATAAGACAGGAATTAGATTTAATGTATCAGGGTACACATTCTTGAGTAAATTAAAATGTATTCGTCACGTCGCAGATGATAAAAATTTATGTGTTCTTAATTCATTTTATGGACTTTAAAAAAATAAACTTTATTTATTTTTTATTCTTACATAAATGAACAAAAATGGAACAGCTAAAATGAATGATAATCAAATAAGAGCCGAAGGTAGAAGGTTATTTAAACGCTTCTATAACATTCCTGATGGTGTTAATCCTAAAACTCGTAGAAGTTATTTAAATGAAGCAATAGATTCATATGAAGGGTTTGACATTTCATCAGAAAGTGAGAGGTTAGCAAGAATGTTAAATGTTAATATTGATTTCTATTATTGTGATCCTCAACCAGAAGACGTGGACATAAATAAGGTAGACTTTCCATTAGTGGATTCAATAATGATAGATCCAGAATTTGAAACAGTAAATATTTTATTAACACAGAGTCCATGTGGAAAACTTCACGCTGACAGAATAACAGACGTTGAAGCACTCACAGGATATAAAGTTTGCCCCTTTTGCAAAGAAGAAGTTTATTCTATCCGTGATGATCCAGAAAGGAAAAACCAAAGAAGATTTTTAAAACATTGTGAGAAATGTAAAGAAAATAATGGAAGATTAATTCAAGACGTTCAATTGCAAAACACACAACAACCATATGCACCACATATTACGAAACAGAAGATATATCAGTGGTTATTAGCTCATAATTTGCAGGAATATTATCAACCGACAAGATATTATATTACTTTTGACTTCGAAACATTAGAGACTAAAGAAGAATTACAACTTTCTGAGTGTGCAACTTTGAACGCTTACTTAAAACCATTCATGGTATCATCAACGGTTAAAATAAAGCCGCAAAGCGGCGAGGTCGTAGACCGTGATAAAACATTTACGAGGAATTTTTGCTTAACATCAAGTGATTCGTTCATCTCTGATTGGATTGAATTTTTATTTTCAACCTGTTCATTAGTTGCTAAATCAAATATTGAACAATATGAAGAATTAATGAATACATTAAATGAGAAACAAAAGGAAGCATTTAAAGAACTTCTAGATGAGGAATTCAATAAAGTGAATATCATAGTTTTAATTCGGAAAGTTTGATTTAAATTTAATTCTTCGTGATTTAAACACTGCAAAATGGAAAATAAAATCAATGCTGGGTTCATCTTCACAATTTAAGCAATCATTGTAAAGAAAACAAACGTTCCATATGAATTGAGATTTATTGACATCAGAAATTATATAGCGGGTGGGACATTAGACCAATTCACTCAAGATTTCGGAAACAATAAATCACGTGTTAAATCCTTTTTCCCTTATCAATTCATCACATGGGAGAATTACGAAGATGAATTATATAAAGTGGAACCATTCACGAAAGATTCATTTTATTCAGCATTAACACAAGAAACAATATCCGATTCAGATTATCAAATATATCTCAATGATGCTAAAAATTTTGAGAATAGATTAGAATATTTTATTCATTATTGCAATAAAGATGTTGAAATTATGATTGACCCAATTGATAAAATTATTGAAGAAACATTTGTTTATAAAATTGATATGCTTCATAATCTTTCTTTATCATCGAATGCTTCAATGATTCGTTACGCGTTAGCATATAAGAACTTCAATCCTAACGAAACATATCCAGAAGAAGAAAATGTGGAATCAAGTTTTGAATTAACGAAAAAGTATTGGAAATATAAAATTGAATCATATAAGAAACAAGATGAAAAAGCAGAAAGGGTTACTAAAAACAATGTTTCAATGGATGACTATCAATACTATCACGATTTAATCCTTTCATCTAAATGCAAAATGTGCGGTAAAGCGTTTACATATGCAAATAAACCAACATTGGATAGAATAGATAATGAAAAACCACATACCAAAGAAAATTGTCAGTTAATGTGTTGTTATTGCAATGTCGTAAAATCAAATAAAGATGAAGATGTTCAACGTTTAAGAATCAATTTAAGAAATTATGCATTAAAAAATAATTTACCAATGACTTTAGATTCAGTTGAAGCTTATCACATTCTCCGTAATGGAATTACTGGTGGTCTATCAAATGTTCAACATAGAGTAAATCTTAAAGGAATCACGCACATTAATAAACTTTCATATAATCCAGAAACTAAAACTGTATCAAATGAGGACACCACCAACATTATGACTCATTTCGTTGGAGTTGACTTTAATTCATTATATCCTTCATCATTTTCATCTAATCCTCATGATTTCATTCAATATACTGACCATAAAATGTATATGCCGGGAAGATTGAATGGTGTTATCATTTGTGATACAGCAACAAAGAAAGCAAAAGCACTGGGAATTATTAAGAAGAAAAATACTTTATTCGTGGCTGAAGTAAAGGGTCACATTGATGAAAAATACATTAATGATTACATTAACTTTTTACCGATAATAAGAAACTTAGATATTATCACAGATGAAAAAACAATTGGCAGTTTTATGTATAATTACATGAAATCAAACAATCTACCAGTTGACCAGAAACAGAGAAAATTAACTCAGTTAGCATCAACACACAACCAATATCAACCATTTTCTTCTTATTATCTTTGGTATCTAATCGACAGTTTCATTTTATCATCGATGATATTCAATCAATTTTAACATTTACGAAAAACACTTGTTTTAATGAATTTGCGAACAAATTTATGAACGAAAGACAAAAGGCTGAATTAGAAGGAAATAAAGGAAAAAGTTTATTTTGCAAGATTTCACTTAATGGATCATATGGTTACGATGCAATGAATACACAAAATTACACAAAGACTAAAATAATGAATGCACAGAAGTCACGCGTTGCATGTATGTCAAATAAGTTTAAAAACATAAGAGAAATAGGTGAAGATACATATCAAGTGATGCTTAAAGATAGATTTTATAGATGTGATACATGTTTACAAGAGGCATTCTTCACTTTAGATAATGCTAAATACTGGTATTTGGTTTTCATTTATGATTTTATGTATAAATGCATGGATGTTAATCGTTTTCATTTCATTGAAGGTGATACTGATTCATCTTATTGGGCAATCGCTGGCGACCCAAATCTTCCTAACACTCAAGCATTTCAAGCAATTGTTACCGATAAACAATTTTATGATAAAAACATTTTCAAATTCGCACCTTTTGATTTCTTCTGTTTTGATGAGAAATTTAAACCCAAATTAAAGAATAAAGCTGAAGAAAAAGCACATGAGAAAAAATTATTGGGTTTAGCAATTGAGAAACAAGGTGATAACATGGTTGCTTTATGTCCTAAGTGTTATACATCATTCAACGGTTCAATTGATGGAAGTGATTTTAAAAAGATTGCACAAAAAATGAAGGGTGTTAGTTTACGACAAAATAAACAATTAACACCTGAAAATTATTTGGATATAATAAATGATAAATTGATATTTGATGGTCAGAATATTAATTTACAACTTAAAAATGGGTCAATGACTCGCTTAACAATTGGTAAGACTGCATTAACAGGAGCACACACTAAGGCTGTATGTTGTGAAAATGGATGTTGTATGCCATTTATTTAATAAAATACCACAGAAGAGACAAAAGGAACCGTTAATGATGGTTTTGATTCTTGATCAAAGAGGTGGGCACCCCTTAAACATTTATTTTATTTTTATATAAATGGATAATGTAGATTTAAAAATTTTAATTGATGATTTAGTATTTAATCAAAATTTTCTTAATTATTATGATTTAAAAGCATATCTCCAAAAATATGATAACAATATAACGGGTGATGATATGGAATATTATTATCCATATTATAAAAATGAAATTTTGAAATATCATGATAGAATAATTTCTAAAATTAAAGACAAAATTAAAAATAATGAATATTCAAAGGGAAAAACTAAATCACAGCTTAAACAGTTGAAAGATTTCAAAAATAAAGTATTAACAGAAGAAGATATTGATGAATTATATAAATTATATAATCCTGAGCCGCAAAAGCCAAAGGAACAAAAACAAAAGGAACAAAACACCCAGGTCCTTCAGACCATAAATGATGCACAAGCTTTAATTTATGATTCATTAGTTAAACCATATTCAGCCCGACTTTTAAATGAAGATCAACTTTTGGAATTCATCCTTCAACATAAACTCGAAGCGGGAAAGTATATCAAACCTTTATATACAGCATATTTAAAACAAATGAATAAAATACATCCAGAATTAATGAAGGGAGGATTGAATTCCAAAATCAAAGCAGATAAAATTAAACCACTTACAACACCAAAACCTCCAACAGTAGTACCTCCTCCTCCTTCAGTTAATCCTTCATCATTCACTTTATTATATCCATTTCAAACATTAAAGAAGCAAAAAGATTTTAAAAAGGATTTCAAGATATTAAATAAACCAATTGACCCGAAAATTCAACCGTTAAAGGAAAAATTTAGTCGACCTTCATTTGCTCCATATCCATATTCATACGAAATCGATCATCTGGAATATTCAAAAGGAAACGTTACTTATTTATTTGCCATTAACATTAACACTAGATATTTATATTGCATTCCAGTGAAAGGGAAAACAGAACAGGAAACACGAAGAGCTATTCAATACTTACTAGATCATGAAAGAGTAGATAATATCAGGGGTGATGGTGATAAAGGATTTCAGGCAGCTATGACTCATTATTTCCCACAAATTAATTTTTATTTCATCCTCTCCATATACGTTTCATAATAAAATAGTTGATGCGGTAATGAGAACTCTTAGAGATGCGTTAGGGGTTAACGGTCAGATATACTGGGATGGAAATCATGACTCCATCATACAGCAGTTAGTATATTATTACAATAATACATGGCATAGAATTATAAACATGAAACCGTGGAAATGAAAAATGATATTTCAAAAGAATGGGAATATATTAGAAAGCAAATGGAAAAGTTAAATGATGTTAAACGTGAACAAATTAATTCGGGCTCATGAATTTTAAACAAGGAAATAAAGTTTTAATTCATCTCGATTATGGAAAAAACTGATAAATCAATGACAAAAAGAAGACGAAGATTTGACACAATAGCTGAATTTGTTAGATATATTAACGGTAATGTATTAGTTGAGGTTAACAATAAATTAATAGAAATTCCGATTTATTTTATTACTCCATTATATTTAAATAATATTTAATTTTTTTTATTTCGTAAGAAATGAGTGACAACGAAGCAGCCAAGAGTCCAGACGATGAATATAAAAAGAAACTAAACAGAATTAAATCAAAAATATGCTATTACAAAAAGAAGCCACAATGCGGTGGGGTTGAAAACTATAAAGAAATAATCGAAAAATTAGAAACTTACCGTTCAATCATTAAACTGAGTGAAGCAAAAATAAAAGAATTTAATAGAATAAATAAATTGATTGGAAGAGATGAATTTAATAAAGATGAATTTTTAAACTCAATCCAAATTTAATTTTTATTCCTCTTTGACAACATCTCTCTTTCCATCATTACTGCATAACCGCATTTTCTCAGTTTTAGTGGTTTGTTATTTTTAGCAAGTTCTCGCATCATTTTTATCGTTTCCTCC